AATGCCACAGGCCCTTTTCATTTTTTGGGCCCGCCCCCTTCTTGGGCTCCGCCCCCGTCCCGGTCTTTTAGGCTTGTAATCTGGTCACCCTAGACCTAAAGTGGCCACGTAGCTGAGCATATGAGTCATACCTGTGACTCAGAACTTGCCCAGACATGTCCTGTGCCTACCTGCAGTTTCCCTGCCTTCTCTCCTCCCCTGGATTAAGGGGAACCAATCAAAGTTACTGGCAGGAAACTGCCTGAATTTGCCCTTAAAATCAGACATTTTCTGATCAGACCCCCGGAGAAGGTCCTTGCTTTGCCACCTGGTCTGATCAGCTAGGGGTCTTTGGGGGGCCCTCTCCCGGCTCTTGTTTGTTTTTGAGCATACCCCCCGTTTTTAAACTCCCCTCCCACGAACAACGAATTTGTGCCTGGAAATCTTCTGATTATTGTAAGCGAATCAAGTCCTCTCTGCGTCCTCTGATGCTGAAACTGCTGTTCCTGCTGCTGCTTTGGAGATTGGTAAGGAAAAACCTTTTGCACACTCCCCTTGTTCTAGCTGCTGGCAGGGTCAGCAGGCAGACCCAAGCTAACTCCTTGGTCTTTATCTGTAATCTGTTTCTTGCTCCGCAGCGCCTTTGCTGCTAGAAATAAGCCTACTTGCAGCCACCACTAGTTAAACACCCCCTCTCCCCCCTTGAAGCTGTATCCTGGGCACACACCACTCTGCCCTCTGGAACTACCCCTAGTATAAGGTGCACCCATTAGGTTACATTTAGCCTTTAGTCTAGATAAATTGTAATTTCATTTTGCATAGTTGTGGTTAAGTTAGGTTTAGAAAATTGCTTGCATTGTACTCTGTAAATTAGGCTTAAAGAATTGTTGTATTGTGTTTTGTTACTTGCTAATTTGTGTAGTCTTGGTTAAGTTAAATCATAGATAAGATTTTGCTATGTACTGTATAATTGTCTCTCTGCTGTTTAAACTTGCAGCCTGTCTGCTCTCTGTTTCTCTCTCTCTCTCTTTTAATCCCTTCCCCCACGTGCTCACCCCACTCCTGTTGCTGCCAAACCTCAATTGTATTACTAAAATCTAGCATAAAACCCCATTGGTTACCCTTTTTCTCTCTAACAAACCTCACATTTTACATTTAACCACTGTGACATATTTTTACCTAGAGTTGTTGGTTATTTAACACATTTTACCCATAACTGTTAGTTGGTTATATGCTGCTGTGACACACCCTTTACATAGAAATTGTTAGCTACCTGTTAATTGGTTACCAACTGTATTGTACCCCACTGTATTGTACCCCACTATTGAAACCCCCTATCCTATTTACTAAAAGAAACCCCTCCCCAATTGTCTACCTTAACAAACTCCATACCCCTCACAATTGAATTTTCCCTGTTTTTGCATTTTCTTAATAAAGTTTATTTTGCACCCCACCAGTGCAATAGTTGTCCCCCAAGATCCCCTACCTGCTGGCAGAGTCACTTAATTTTCACGTGGCACTGCTGTGTGTTCCTGTTATGGCCTCTGTCCTTCATGGCCTTTGAGACTTTTTCTAATATTTTGCCATTTTGTTTACTGCTACGGAGTTCAGCTAGCACTGATTCGTCTCCCCATATGGCGAGCAGATCCCGTACCTCCCGTTCTGTCCATGCTGGAGCTCTTTTGCGATCCTGGGACTCCATCATGGTTACCTGTGCTGATGAGCTCTGCGTGGTCAGCTGTGCTCTCCACACTGGGCAAACAGGAAATTAAATTCAAAAGTTCGCGGGGCTTTTCCTGTCTACCTGGTCAGTGCATCTGAGTTGAGAGTGCTGTCCAGAGCGGTCACAATGAAGCACTGTGGGATAGCTCCCGGAGGCCAATAACGTTGAATTCCGTCCACACTACCCCAAATCCGACCCACAAAGGCCGATTTTAGCACTAATCCCCTCGTCGGAGGTGGAGTAAAGAAACCGGTTTAAAGGGCCCTTTAAGTTGAAAGAAAGGGCTTCGTCGTGTGGACGTGTCCAGGCTTAATTCGATTTAACGCTGCTAAAGTCGACCTAAACTCGTAGTGTAGACCAGGCTTAAGATCGAATTGTCTGGGGTCCACACAGCGCGGGATCGACGGCCACGGCTCCCCCGTCGACTGCACTACCGCTGCTCGCTCTGGTGGAGTTCCAGAGTCAATGGTGAGCGCATTCCGGGATCGATATATCGCACCTTAACGAGATGCGATATATCAATCCCGGATAAATCGATTGCTACCCACCGATACGGAGGGTAGTGAAGACATACCCTAACACAAGATAGGGAGACTGTACTACAGGAATGCAATCTTTGGGTGTCCAACAGAGCTTTACACTTTTTTATTTGGGTGAGCCCTGAATGGCCACAATGTACAGGCATCTAGGAGTGAAGTATGTAACAGGCTTTCTAAAGGTGTCACTCTGTTATTACTGCTTGTAAAAATATTTTTTTTGTTCTATTAGATGTTCACATAGTATGAACATTTCACATGAACACAAATAAACTTACACAGTGTTGCTAAACCTGCACCCAGAAACAAATCAAGAGACACATAATAGCCATATGAGAATAATTTTTAGGGCATGACATTGCATAGCAAGATACACTGAATTTTCATCACGTGGTGAGAAAGGTAAACGTATAAGTTCTATGGTGGAGGGGGCGCAGGCAAACGTGCATGTGTGCGTATGTGAGTGAGTAAGTGGACATCTGTAGACTCTACCACTAGTCCTCTAAACATTCCTATCAAATTATTTTCAGAGAAAGAACTTACTTGTTTAGGGTCATCTGTGAGAAGTCTAAATTTCCTGGGGTTTTTGCTTCTGGCAAATTTACAGCCATTGAAATACATACTCCATGAACAGCCAAATGAGAATGAGGCTCCACAAGTTTCAGGATCAAGTCCTTGACATGCACAAGTGCGGCTATAAGACAGGTAATTGCATAACAATCAGCTGGCAAAGCAGAAACTTTCTTTAGATACATAATTACTTACATGACTTCTATAATCCATAGTGAAATAACAGAATGATTTATAAATATAGCTGAAATCTTTAATCAGTTGTTTCTGTTAATAATTATCTATTTATGAAAGTATGATTGGCTTATTGTTCTTAAAGAGTCACTCACAAGTAACTCAAGCCCCAAAACTTTTATCTAACATGAAACTATATATCTCCTTGTTATACCCACCATACTGTAATTTTGACTTCTCCAGCTTTGACTAATTTTTAAAAAAAATGCAAGTAAGTACCACTCTTATTATAGCTGTCCTGCAGCCCAATAAATACTGTCCACAGCTCTGACTGTGTGTGGAACCAGTATATCGAAAGTCATCCACATTTTGAAATGAAAGCATGCTAACATGGAGGAACCATTAAAAGTAAATTAGATTTAAGTCAAAGTCACTGAAGAGTTGTAAAAGGATTCTGATTAGAGACAAGCTCTCCAAGGATCTGCACTGAGGCAGAACTGCTCTTGCGGTCTCATTTGGCTGCTGTAAACTTTCCAGTCAATTTACCAACCAATGGGATGAATTAGTTTCATTTCTGACGTGCAAAGGAACATCCCAGGCTTGAGTGCCCAGGCTCTCTCACCTACAAAGCTCAAGAAGTTTGATCATAACCTACTCTATCCTGAGCAGCACAGCATCAGTGGGAATGTAGCAGGGGTGCAACTAATGCAGAACCTTAGAGCATGCAGGGAAAGGTTTTGTTTTTGTCTTTTTTAAAGTCTGGACATCTGCAGAGAAAACTCATGTGGAGAAAGAGAGAGACAGTCAGGCTTTTGGGGAGATGAGAACTGACTCGAAGAAGCCAAGCTGGTAACATTGCTCTGAGGATGGCTGAGCCATGGATGCCTGTAAAAGCAGACAGTTCTTTTATAGCTGGGTACCTAGGAGAACTGTGGAGACAGTTGAGCAAGGTGAGTGTGGAACAGGACAAAACTACTAAAGAACGCTCTATTTCTGTCTAAGAAAAAAAAAACAACAACCCAGTAAGAGGCCTCCGTTATCCCCCCAGTATCTTGGTGTCTACATTTATTTCAGAAGCCCCATGTTGCAACATACAAGATAATGGCAATCTTCAAAAACAAACAAACCCATAAAACCATCCACTCAGGAGAAATCAAAAATCAATACAAAATGTGGGTACAACTAGCTAAAAAGCGTAAGACGCTTACAATTTTCCATTTACAAGAGAGCTTGAAAAAGTGTTACATATAATTTAAAAAACACCCCATTTAGGGACATTATGGGCTAGATTGTACCTGATATGACATGCACTGATAATGGTGTAGAGCCACACTGCCTGAGGGGGAAGTCCTGGCGCAACTGTACCACCAGGAGATGCAATTCTTCTGGGACTCCCACCACACAGAATGAGTGTACACACTATGCTCTTCCTCAGGGAGGTGCAGTATGCTTTCCACTCATAGTCCAGCCAAAACTGATACAGGGTGGCAGTCACATTTCACCTCCTTCCCATCTCTTTGGGTGATGAGAGGCCTTGAGTACAAACAGAGGGAGCAGTCCGTGTACTCTCTTAGCACATGTATACCTGGTTCACAGTCTGGCCCTTAGTGAATAACAGAAATTTAACATCACACTAAAATGACACCCAATGGTCTGTATTTTAAATAAGCTTATATATTTTGATTTTTAAATCAAATATGTTTCCTTTTATGCAGACCAACCTACAAAACAAGGAGAAAATAAACAGGTGCTATGAACGTCACTTACTCTTCGTTTAACGCACATCTACGGCTTGTGGGACAACCATATTTTCTGAGACTCTGTGTCAGTTCTTTATATAATGTATCAGCCAGAAGATGAGGAATCCCTTCCCAGGCCAAAATCAGAATCACTATGACGGCAGTTTGGCAGTGATGTCCTGCACGCTGACGTACCAAACACAGCAACTTTTCCTCATCACTACTTCTTCGTATCACCTGCAAGAATCATTTTATTCATTCTTAGATTAGGAAAGGATATATTTCTAAGATCTTGATGCCACATCCTTACTCACAAAATAAACCCTTACTGACTCACCATATAATCTTTTTATGCATTACTAAATAAATAAATTACATTAAAAACAAAAAAACAAACCAAAATACTTAAATAACAGCTATGTATGTACTTCTCCCATTGAAGTCAACAAGAGTCATTTTTGGGACCTGTCCAATTAACTTCAATGCAAGTTGAAGCCCTAACTGTTAAACTAGCTAGCAAAAAAACAAGAAGAGCCAAGGTTAATGTTCTATAAACTTGGAACGTCCTAACTTTAGCTCATTTATATCACAAGCTTAATATTACTGAAACATTCTGTATTAATTGTGAATTTCTATTCTCTATGCTGGAATGGCCTAGATTTGAAACATTCTAGTAGGAACCACTGCTGCCCAAAGAGGTCCCACAATCATGGGCTCTGGAGAGTACCATATTTTATCCTCTTCTGTGGAACATGTTTCTGCATTTCACTCTGGTCTGTGTAAGAAATCAGGAAATTTTTTCTGTGCCCCATTGAGCAGAAACAATCAGGAAGATGGGTTAAAAAGAAAATAATTATAGGGGGAAATGACAATCCTGGTATAATCGATCCACTGACAACCTAACCTCTCCTGTGAATTGATATTGTAATGACAAGACTTCCTCTAAAAAGTAAAATGCAGGTACATAAAAGAACATATCACAAAATTACATATACTTACGTGTTAGGATAGTTTCTATAGTTATTACCAGAGATCATATAATTAGAAGAAAGCAGTGAAAAGAGGTACATTGTTTGCTCCCTTTCGGCAATAAAACTATAAGTAAGACTTTTCCTTGATGCTGTTTATATCAATATAGGCCTTAAAATAACTTCTCAAGAGAACTTGGAAGTTAGACTGTGTTCTGTTGGTCACATAATTTAATAACTTAGCAAACTTCACCCATTCGATATCACATACTGAAGACTAGACAGAATACAGGATCATATTATTAGTGATGCTGCAGAAAGAGAAAAAAGGGATACTAAATATCTCTAATTCCTCTGTATTTAAATTGTAAAATTTTTAGGGCAAGGACCATCTTTTTGTTGTGTGTTTGTACAGCACCTAGCACAGCGTACTCCCAGGGAAATTCTGTGCCACTGTGCACGTGCAAAATTCATGTCCTACCCAAGAATATTTTTTTCTCTGCAGAAAATACGTTCTGCTGGAGAGGGGCTGCAGTTATGCCTTTCGCCCATTAGGGGCTGCTGTGTTGCCAGAACAAAGGACAGCTACTCCTGGGTGGGAGAAGCCCCAGCTGCAGATAAGGAAAAGAAGAGGCTGGGTTCCTCACATAATCCTCCCCGTGGGGCCAGGTGGGGAGGCACAGGATAGGGGGGGGACAGGCAGTGTGGGGTACATGGGGCTGCTGGGGGGGAGGTCACAGGCACCCCCAAGTTCAGATGGGTTAATGGGGGGGATAGACTGGGGCAGAGGCTGAACGGAAGTGGGGGTGAAGAGACAGGGGGGAGGGGGTGATTGAGTGAGGGTACAGGGCCACATGGGGATGGGAATAGGGGGTGGCTGAGCGGGGGGGGGTGCAGAGACACATGGGAATGGGGCGGGAGCTACAGGGCCACGTGAGGATGGGGGAGGGAGTGGCTGACTGAGGGTGCAGGGCCACATGGGGACGGGGGGGCAGAGGGCTGCAGGGACACATGGGGATGGGGGAAGAAGGGGTGGCTGAGTCAGGGTGCAGGGACAAATGGGGACAGCAGGAGGGGGTGCAGGGACACACTGGGACAGGGGCAGATGTGCCTGACTGAATGAGAGAGGCTAGGGTCAGCCAGGGTCTGTATGGGGGAGTGTAGCAGGGTGGATACCCGCTTCTGCCCTGAGGGGTTTGGAACAGCCCTGGGAGAAAGCTGTTGCAGGGAGAAGCAGCTACTGGGCTGATTGGGGAAATAGCTGCAGCTCAGCCACGCCCCAATCAGAGCCCAACTGGCCTGTATAAAGAGGCTGGGAGCCAGGAGCTCAGAAGTCTCTTTAGGTCTTCAGAGGGAGAAGGGCCTGGCTGCAAGGAGCTAAGACAGAGTACCTGGGTGGAGCAGGGCTGGGGAAAGGCTGGGTAGCTCCAGCCTGGAAAGCCCCAGGCTGCGGCCTACTATTAGGCTAAGGGATACTGGGGGTTGCAGAGGGCAACCCAGGTGTAGGCCAAGGCAGCAGGTCCGGTCCCAACCCTACCAGTGATGAGTGGCTGATACTGCAGTCTGCCCTTGGGTGTGGGGCTAGATGATGACTGGCAGTAGCCTTTTTCTGAGGTGAGGTGGGGTTAGTGGGTGGGGGTTCCCCTGGGAGGGGAGACCCATCATGTGTGGGTACTGCCAGGGGGCAGCACCCAGAGCAAGGGGCACCGGGGTCCTGGGAGGGACATGGGAGCCAGTAGGAGGACAAGGCGGATCACTGACCTGCAGAGGGCACTCCAGGCTGGATTGAGCTGATTCCCCCAAGTGACCAGCAGGAGGCACTGCAGGGGTGAGTCTGACCCCTTACAGGGAGGCTCCCAACTCCCTAACAATCTCCACCCCACCCCCTCAAAAAAAACTGTTCCATACTTCTCCCATCCACACCCAACAACCTTCCAGGTTCACTCCCAGGCTGCTTCCCAGCAATTACTTCCATCTAACTCAGCTCCTCCTTTATCCCTGACTCTCCCAAGCCTTTGCACTGTTTCTAAGGAGGGCAGGAAATACATTTCTGTATTGTAGTTTAAATGAATTATTACTCAAAGTTCTGTATTAATATGCCTAGTAAGGAATCTATTTGTCAAAAAACATTTCCTGAATCTTTTTTGTTGTCTGTAGTGTTAGACATATTTGCTGACAAGTATTTTTAAATAAATTGTCAAAATAATTGAAAATGGCATGATTATATTGTGTTATTTTGACAAATAAAATATGTAGAATTTTAAAGTATCGTGCACAGAATTTTTAATTTTTTGGCACAGCATTCCCCCAGGAGTAACAATGGGGTCCTGGTCTATGCCTAGTAATACAAATGATAATAGATAATCAGGAGTACTTTTAACTTTATAAGACATGCAAAATTAAGGAAAAATTTGCTTGCTATCCTACTCCTATCTGTTCATTAGGTATTTGCCATAATTAGTGTCAAAGATACATTATGAAATAAACAACAATATAATAAATAACAGGTAGATAAAATTAGCTTGGCAACGACTCAGTATTCGCCAAATAAAACTGATGGGGTACTGTAGTCTCTCCATAGGGCATTGCCATTCCCACTAAAGGGTCGAGGTTCCATTTATAAGCTTAAATAACCACATAGTTGGAGCTTGGACCTCTCATGGGTAATACTGGGACAAATCTCCTCTTCATAGTCCATTCACACACAAAACTGAACTATTGAGAGGTATCCCCCACACCTGTTGCAGACATCTGATCCTTAAACTGCTGATATTCTGTTCCAGTATCTGTGTGAGACAGCGAATCAATCAACCAGTTTATTCACCTGGCTACCCCCTTTTACTAACTAGGATTATCTGTTACAAAGGACTAGTAGTACAGAAAACATATATATGAAGCTCATGTTGAGAAAGTCATGAATCACAAATGCAGTAACAAGCATGTACAGGCACAGTATGGCAACTATGACATCCTGACAGAAATGCAAGCAATAATATGCAAGGACACAATAATTTATTACACTATACTACACAGAAAACCCAAACATTCAGCATGTGGGCAAGATAGTGCTGATGGACTACAAATGCAAGAAGGCAAGAGGCCTTCACCTGCCCATATGATACTTTTAATGTCTGGGTCAACACGTGGGTTGCCTATCAGATCAATGACCCAGCCTCCTTGTTGTTGCCACACGAGTCTAGCTGTAGTACATGATCCTTGACCTAGTCATCCATAAGCATACGAAACATTCTGACTAGTTAATGTGAGGGGCCAGCCACCTTTGCAGTTTCCCTGAAAACTCACAAACAACCAGAGGGTGTTGAATAGATTTAATATTAATGGATTCAGAGGCAAACTGTGCCAGCTTAGCTGGAAAAAATAGGCACTATGCTCATTTGTGTTAAGAGAAAGGCAGTTACAAATCATTTAAATTGAAATCTGAATAATACACGTAACAAACACTGATATACCTTAAATTTAACAAAAAGCCTACTAAGTACTTCTAATTGCAGTACCAATCCTCAAAAACAGTCCTGATAGTGACTAAGCAACCACAATTTGTTACATAGGGAAAATAACAAGAGTAGGAAAATACTTCATTTTCCATTTGGTCTAAGTTGGAAGTATTTACAGGAAGTCTATTGTGCCTGATATACAATACAAATAATTTAGAATTCATGACAGTTAATATTTTATAAACTTTGTAAAAACATAGTTCTTCCAACTCAACAAGAGAAGAAGGATTTAATTTCATTGTTCAACATAAAATATGATGTTTCTAGTCTCCCTAGTCTTTCTCTTTCTCCAGCTTCATAACTGATATGAGAAAGGTTAATACCTCAGTTTCTCAGTGCAAAATAAAGTTGTCCTTTGTGAGCTCTAATACATTTCTAAACTGCAAATGTATAGTTCAGAAAATATGATGGTCAGGAAAATAATTTATACAGCCATCATACCTCCCTGGAGTGCAATATGACTGGAATTTGCTTCTTTATTTATGCAGAAAATAATGTGATACCTTTATTGGACCCCCAAACCACTTTATAATATACTGCCTTTCAGGTCATAAAGATGGCAAATAGATTTATCAGTTGTCTGAGTTTTATTTTTGTGGCTCTTCTGAAATGGAGTATACCATATGCTCTTAATTGTATTGTGTTGATTTGATTCCTGCAGCCATATTGACTTCTGCTCTTTGTATCCAAGGTAAGGTACTTTTCTCGCCTGGTAACCTAGTTGGAATTCACCATGAGGCTAAATAGTTAAGTA